AAACATTTCTTTTCTTAAATTATTTAAATTTTTACTTTCTCGTTTACGGAGTATATACGTAGTATAGGGAAAGTTATGTAATGGTGCGGAAAATCGATTTCGAGATTTCGACGGAAATGCACTTTTTGGGGTCCCCTAATACCGACTTGTGGTTATTTGTAAAAACTCGGTCCGTCTGTGAACACCACTAGCGCCTAAACTATGCGTAGGACTTTTTTCCTGCCCACCTGGCTCGAGTCGAAACTTTGAGATTTTGAAAAATTTCAAAATTTGGAGGTCCGTTACATGAAATCCTCGGATATTTTCAAAATTTTCTCAAAAACGGTTTTAAATTTTTCTTTAAATTTCTTGTAAGATAAATATTAGATTAAAAGTATACTTTTGAAAGTAGTATAGGTCTGATTTTCACGGTTACCTCTGAATTTTTGATAATTGTGAGAGTTTGATTTTTTCTGTGTCTTCCTACAACTACAAAATTAAAGATAGAGATTTTTCCTTCAAATAAAATTTGTTCTCCATTGTGAGTTTTTTCATTAAGGTTGTTGTTTTTTTATGTAGTAGTTTTCATGCAATACGTGCAGTTTAAAAAAATCACAAAAACAAGATATTCTCGAATGCGGCTCCAAATTGTTTCTCTAAACTTTTGGTAGGGATCGAGCTAAATGCACTCTATAAGATGACTTAACCGCCATATTGCTCTATCCTTTCGTTCTTTCAAAAATTACAAAAAATAATTTTTTTTTACTTCTTTCACATCTTTAATATTTACAATGACAATTTTTCACATTATATTTATAAGTACACTGCTTTCAATAAATTCAGATAAAGTTTCTCAAAAACAACCGTTTTCTGTGAAAACCTACTCAATATTCCAGTTTCAGAAACGCTCAAACGCCATTTTATAAAAATCGGCTCCAATTTTTTTATCTTCAAACTTTTCGAAGTGATGGTTCTAATTGCAGTCTTTAATATGACAAAAAGTTCATTTCGAAGTTGTTGTTTTTTTAATTACACTAATATAATTTTTTTGAAAGATCTCTCACGCTTTTAAAATGTACATTTCCAGAGATTTGTAAACACTATTGTATTTGTGACTGGAAGGGCTTGAAATGACTTCATACGAAGTTATTCGGAAACTCAATAGATTTCAGTAAAAAGAGGTTCAAATTTCGCATTTTCAATAGTGCGTAAACCAGTTTGTTAACAACAGCTCCAAATTTTTCAAAGAAAATTGCCATTTAGGACGAGGTTTTACTGTTCTTTAATAATCTTACAATAATATTTCCTGTCTACAATTAGGAAACTGAAACATTTAGAAAAAATCAAAACAATGTACTTGCTGGCAAGAGTATGTAGCAAGTCCGAATAGCTAGCCAAGACCATAGGAAATAGAAAACTAATACGGGAAAGTCTGTGCCATTCTGTTGCACCACTAGTAACTTTGTTGTGAGTACATGTTTTGAGTACATGTGCTTTAAATATAATTTAAATACAATTTAACATTATTCAAATAAAAAATTTAAACAAGTATGTATAAGTAAGAAAACAGTTTTATAATTACTTTGAAAAAGATTACAAATTAAGTAGTTTTAATTTTTTATTGAATTCTACAAGATAAAATTAAAATGCATCAACCAGCAAAATGCAGTGTTATAAATATTATCCATGGGCGCCAATGACCTCAGTAGTTGAAGCGCCCTCTAAATCTCAATCAATCAAGAAAGTAGTGACTGAGGAAGTCTGCTGAAGAAATATGTTATCAAGTCCAAGTTACATGAAGTTTTCACATTAAGTGAAAAATCAAGTGTCAACTCATCATGCAGTGGACCAAAAAGGAAAATAAAATATGGCTCAGAGACTTTAAATCTGCGCAAAGAGACTCTCATTGACCCCAAACAGTAGAAATGGGCAAGAGTTGACAATGAGCTCATGAGTGGATGGGATTAGGTAATTTGCAGCCAATCAAGGAATGGCTGCAGTGTTACATCCGCAGCCCTTTTACCAACTCAGAAAAGAAAAGACTCAGTGTCTACAAATGCTGCCTAATTGTATGTCTGCAATGGGAATGATACCGGAGAGTATGTAATTTTACATAGTTTTAAGAGTTGTGAGATAATTATGTAGATTCATTATTTATTGACACACCACCCAGTTGCATCATACAAAAAATGCTAAATTTCTTGAAATTCAATATAACAACAACAACATGCCAAAGAGAAAAGAAGAAAAAAGGAATGCATCTTGAAATATGGAAATTTTTAAAACTTTCATTCCCCATTGCATCCCTTTGCCCCTATTGCACACGTGGTAGCCTTCAAAATAACAAAGTATGTGTTCTAGGATTAAGAAACTTAAATGTAGAATATTCGTATGGAAGTAAATTGCAGAAGCCCTCTTTAGTATTCAGATTTAATGATAAATTAATACTAAATAGGTGCTTCCCAGTTCAAGGGTGTGGTTAAAGTCAAGTAATCCAAACTTTTCGTAAATTTGTAAGCAAGTGAAGAAATGCAATGCATTTAACTACACTAAAAAAAAAATCTTCCTCCATCCACTAACTAGAAATGATACAACTCTTTCGATTAAAAAAAAAAAAAAAATTCATTTTTAATGACATTTCTTCTACCGTAGCAATTCACTTTGACCAAACCAATGAATTTACTGCATGCTTCACAGACTTTCATTGAAATTTTTCCTATTTCTTGTGAAGCCTTTACTATGTATTCAATTAATTACAATTGACGATTTCAGGAAATTGAGAACTGTGAGGCTAGCATTAACACTCTTATAGCACGAAATTAAACTTTAATCAAATCAGTTGACAAACATGAAAAGACAGTGCAATGATAGCTCCACGGAAATACAGTTAGCAGCACACTCTGCAACCAAAGTCAGGAACAAATTCCATATGAAGTGATCGAATGATCGATTACCATGCAATACAAGTTGCCTGGTAAATCTAGCGAAAAGGCGGGGAGCACTAACATTTCGAATTGGTGCATGCCCAGAGACTAGGGAGTTTGTGCACACCATAGCAGACACCACTATCGATCTGGTGCTCATGCTTGGGTGCACTAAAGTGATGCAAAACTTGAACTGGGCATTTGCAGAATATCGATAGTGCTTTAACCTTCAAGGGTGCACAAACTCCCTACAAATGAGCTAGAATATACTATAGTATACTATAGAATATTATATAGTCTAGTATACTGTAGTATATTATATAGTCTAGTATATTGTAGAATATTCTAGCTTGTTGCTCCCTACACAAAAATGCACTCAATTGTTGGCCACTATGGTGTACATAAACTCAGGGTAGAAATGACAAACTCCCTAAGAATAGGACAGAGTCGGACAGATTTGTAAGTACAGAATACTTAATTGTAAAGGTGAGACACTCTTAAATGATCTCTTTTGGATATGAGAAGATTTTTTCCTGCATGCCAAAATTTTTTGAGTTTTATCAAACTACTTTTTGAATAGCAGTAGGCACTACACATCCATATGACAACATTGAATGATAAGGTTTTTTTCATTGTAATTTTAAGACATCTTTCATTGTGAAGTTTCTGGCTAATGTGTTAACACTACTGTGGTTATGCTTCAGCACTTAGGTGTTTCGTAGTCTCTTGCCACGCTATTGCGAGCCAAACAAGATACAACGATGATTGGTGTGGAGAGTAAAGAATGAATGAAATGGAGTGACTCACACATTGTAGGCTAATAACACTGGTCAACAATGATTTTGTTAAATGACTAACTGTAGCTGTTTTTTATGTACCTTTCTACGCTAAAGGCGTATACAACCACAAAAATTGCTCAACAACTCAGTTTTTGTGTAATTAAAATAAAATTCATAAAATTAAAATTGTCTTATCTGATAATATTTCTCTTAGAAAAAAAATAGTTACCATGACTTCTGCCCCAGCCTTTATAGATATGTGGGTTAGCACTATGTTCCTTCTATCTCTTCAATTGTACTGTGTATACGATTGTCAAGTGTGCAATAGTACCAAATTTTTCACCCCCTCAGCCAACTACATTATTGAAAATAGAAATATTATACATAACGAAATGGCCTTCAAAATATGATCCCTAAATACTTTTGTAAACAATTTTTTGAAATTATGAGTAATTTGCAAGTAATTTAAAGTGAAATAAAAGTAATTTTTTTAAAGTATGTAAACAGAGTTTTCTTGGAAATGGATCTGAACTATTTCTTTAAATTTTTTGTTCAATTAGAGTACAGTTTGGGAAATAACATGACTTAGATACTATTTTTATTAAAAACTCTGGAATATTGATCGGTTTAAAAGTTCAAATTTTTTTCCCCAGCTCCTTTTACACCTTTAATATTGAAGCTAAAGACTTCTTTTGTAATGCACAAATTCCTCAATGTTAGATCTGCAAATCATGATCTTGTGCACTTTTTGGGAAGTATTTGTTTTTGTGTAATTTCCAGTTGAAATGTTGAAGGTCATAACAATGTTACGAATGTAATTGCTCATGCACAATGAACTCCATAGCCTGCTGTCTACAGGGTACAGAGGAAATGTGTGATACCTACCACACTACTGATTCAAATCTCAGTCTGAATTTTGTTTGTTTTCTCTTTAAACTTTTTCTTGAGAATAGTGCACAACACACTAAATTCAAACATTTTCATTCAAACGTATGAGATCTTAAATAAATAAAGACCTGTATTTTTAAACTTTGGTGTTCCGTTTAGATAAAAGGTTTTCAAATGAAGCCAAGGGTTGTGAGTTCATATCCTTGGGTGTTTTCTTCTTTTGACTACTTTATGGAAGGCAAAAATTAAACACTGTGTTTCCCTAAATACCATTATTAAATTATAGTAGCCTGAGAATCAGACTATTAGTTGTTAATGTTAACTGTATTATTGTTAAAACCTTGTTGCCTACATTCTGTAAGAGGTGTGGCAGGAAAATAGATAGAACAGTGTAAGTATTGTTGATGTGGAAAATTTGTGTTCTGTACAGGAATTCCATCAAAAGATGAACTTGCAGAGACACATGAAAAGTCACGAGAAGTCTCAGCAAAAGCGACAGTCTGTTAACTGCACTCTCTGCGGACAAAACTTTCAATTTTCCAAAGAACTTGCTAAACATATGGCAGAGCATGCAGAGACTCCTGGATTTCAGTGTACCCTTTGTGATCGCACATTTATTAAGGTTTGTTCTTTCAAATAAATTTCATGCAGGAAGTTAAATCATTCCCTGAAAGTACATTCCCTGAAAGTAAAGTACAAAAAGAAAATTTACATTCAGGTCAGAATTGCTGTTACATTGTCAGAATAGTGCTGTATTCATTGTGAAGTCTTGCTGCACATTCTCAAAATGTATTTATAACTGTTTTTATAAAATGTGTGCATTATTTATAACAGATATAATGTAAAATGTCAACAACAAACTGAAAGTGATTAAAAATGTATAAGTATTATTACTTCATAGATGTACTTATGTAAACTTTGTATTGTAATAAATTCATACGCATCCACAATATTTTATGCTATTAGTGATTACATATTGCTGCCAAAGTTTATATCCATTTTGCTTAATATATTGGATCAAGAGTAGATTTAAGAAAACCATTGTATATTTCATGGTTGACATTTCATGGTATATTTCATTTGACAATAATTTAAAAGCTTTTGGATCTCCCAATAGCATCAGTTATTTTCTTTTAACTTTAAAATGAATTGTCAAAAGAAAAAAAACAAACAAACAAAAAAAAAATATTAGAGAGAAAAATAGCAAACAATTTAGAACTTCCCTTTTTCAGTTTTACTGGTAAGAGGTTTCATGGAATTAAAATTAACAACTTGATTAATCAGAAACTTCCAAGTATAAAAATCTTTTCCCTATTATCAAAAACTATATTGCAAACTTATTACTTTTATTTTTCATTCACAAATATATTAAATTACTTTTATTACTAGATTAAACTTTAATATAAAGAGAAATGATTTTCTTATCATTTATAGGAAAGGAGCTTAAGTCAACACATGAAACTCCACCGAGCTCGATCTCATGCTTCACGAGGATTCTCATGTCCAGCCTGTGGACATACTCTCAAACATCGCAATTCTCTTCGACGCCACATAATTAAAAATCACCCAGAATTAACTTATGGAAGGAAGGTGATGTCTGAAGATCAAGAGGATCCTAATAACATAATAGGACAACCTCAAAGTAAGTTAAATTTCATAATATTTTGTGTTTATATTTATTACTAAACATACATCATGATTATCCTGTTTGATTTTTATATAGAAACAAAGCATATTTAATTGATTATATTCAATTTATTGTGGGATTTTGAATCCTGTTACTAAAGCTTAAGAAGGGCATACCCAGAATGACATTGGAGAGAGGTGGTGTAGAAATCAACTAAATAAGTCTTCTTCTGAACAGGAATCAAACAAATTTGTATCCCCAGGGTTTGAAATTAATCACAAAACTAATTCTAGCTGACATATTTTTTCTCACTAATTGGCCAAATATTGTGTTTTGTTGAGACCATTGTTGCATTCAAACGTTTTGTTCAATACAAGTATATGTGGGGCTGCATTGTGAATGGTTATACCAGAAATAATAAAGTCTCAACTAAATATACACGGGAGAGCTGATTAATTTGTAATGATTGATACGTAGTTACTGCTCAAGAATGAAACCGGTTTCGTATAAATCTAAAACCTGAAAATTATCATGAGTTGGTGTGGACTCATGCACAGTTTAGTTAACAAGAAATTAGAGTAAAATTGAAATAATTTTATTGGTTTTGTAGGTCCAGAGGTTCTCCTGACTGTTTCTCAGTTGCAACTAACTACTGATGGAGTTCAGCAGGTCTCTCTCCCTGAAGAGGTTCCAGTTGGTAAGTCTTCCTAGTTTTCAAACAGTATGACTGGCATGTACAAGGGACAGAATGAGCATTAGTCATCCTATCCTTCTTTACGTTTGCACAGTCAGGGGGAAAAGTGTGATTCATTTTGAAAGTCTAAAAGTGGAGACATTTTTACATTGTGAGCATGACAAAATTGAAGGAACTGGTAAAATATAGGTATTGCAGTGAATTATTGTTGGCATTTCTAATAAAATAATTATATGCTTCGTCATTCCCAACAATATTATTTAATAAAAAAGCAGCTTTCGATGGCTTAGCCATCATCATCAGTTGATAATGATGGCTAAGCCATTGAAAGCTGCTTTTTTAATAAATAATATTGTTGGAACTGGTAAAAATTTGTATTTGATCATGCATACACCAAGCAATCCGGGTGAAGACCAAGTAAAATATATCTGCAAGTTTGTATAATCTCTTTGTTAGAATTTAAACCAATAAATTGACCATCTTAAAATGTCTAATGTTAAATGAAATTTAATTTTGAATAAATGATTACTTTTGGATAAAGCCCCCATTCTAATAGTAGTCGAGGACCTCCCTCTCACTAGTGCAATTGCAGTTGTATTTTACAAACAAGCAAATTCAGGACAATATTTTAGGGATTATTTTTATCATACTAGTATGTAATACTTATTAACTGTTATTCTTATTTCTTGGTTTTATTAAGTTTTCAAGCCATGTTCTACATCTCTAGTTCTCTGTGGATATCCATATCTAACATATCTGTTGGAAGGTTACATATCATTACATTAAACATCTTAATAACATTATTTTAATACCAAAAACTTTCTCCAGTTGATATAATCCTTGAAAATTGAATGCATAAAACATTTTTTCCCTTTTTCTTGTTTTTACACATTACACAAAATGTTTATTGCTGAAGCTATTGGAGACAAATATATGGATGTTGCAGAAAATGCATGTCTACTTGAGGAGGGAGCTATGGATTGCCCTGAAGAAATGGTTTTGTATGTTCTTCAGGAGCCTTTGTCCTGCCTTCCACTGCAAGAACCTTCATCATGACTTTAATAAAGACTGTCACTGATGGTTTTTGAAGTGTAAAGTAAATAGAACATTCAATCATGTTTATATTCAACTTCAACGTGCAATTATGTATATTTTTTATAATCATTTGAAACAATACTGTGTTACGTGGAACATTTGTTCCATTTTCTGTGTTTGTTACATTTTGTTTGAACTTTTGTTTTGTGAAAGAAATGTTATGATTTGCCTTAATTTTGCCTCTAACTGTACATACATTTTCTCTCTGTCCTTGTGACTGCAAATTATCATGTGAGAAAAAATTAACTACATGAACATCCTACACAAAGGTATATTCTTCACTTTGTTTGCCAGCTAGTGAAGAGCATTATTGTAGCTTTAATAAAGAAATTGTGTATTATCCTGAAAGTTTATTATTTTTATAATTCCTAGCCCTTTTCAAAAGAGAAGGCCCAAGATTTTGTAAAAGATATTTGATGAGTTATTTGATTTATTTTAACCTTTGCACTTTCAGAACTGCAGGTTTTTTACTGGCTTAGGATTAGAGAATGTTAGGAATCCTCTTCTTTCAGATGCTTTTCCGGTTTCTCCCCACTTCCATGGCCCTCAGTACAGAGAATGTAACTGGTATCTCAGTTGGTCAAGAAGTGGGGTGAAGATGGCATGGCAAGTGTAATGCTTCAACCAGCTACCTTTCTTTTACCCAACATTTATTGTTAATAAAGCCAGTAAATATTAGTACTCATTTTAAAAGAAGGATGAGTGAACCTTAGGGCCAATGAATTATTTGTTGGATGAATTTAATTTCAAACTTTTGTAACTTGTAAGATGGCAAAAAAAAAAAATGTAGTGTGTGCTGAATGTTGAGAATTAACAACTGACATTATATTATAATGCAATGGAGAGAAGAAGCAGACATTTCATATGAAGAGCACAACTTTGAAAAAACAAACATAATAAAGTGAGAGATTATCCAGGATCATAGTCAATAAAAAGAAAAATTCCCATAAAATAATCAAATTCTGAAAATTGAAGTGTGAAATGTGAAAAGGTTGGATACAAGCCAATAACGTGCACTTCTAATCACACTGCATCTATAAATATGAATTACATTCAACAGAGTGTAATTCATTTTTTGGCACAAATGCTCACAATTTTCTTAACTTTAAACACTTTCATTCTCACATTCATTAATAAAAATATTCAGAACTTACTACAGAAAATGTTAAAAACCTTATTTAGAAATCTTTTCTTTTAACAGATATAGTATTCATTTTTGTAATAGAGCCTATTTCTATATCTATAGTAACATATTTTATAAACTATTCGCAAATCTTTGATTTTTCCTACACCTAATAGTTTAGTTGATAAGAGATTTTGAAAATGTCATAATAAAACAAGATTTTTGAGAAAATGTTTGCATTAGATGAGAGTTTTGAAGAAATGTGTAATTCCTGAATCCAACTTTCGACCTGGATTAACTCACAAACAGTGCATGGATAACTTAATTCAATTTTTAGCAATGAATCAAGGACCAGTGTTTATCGATGGTATGATGAATTCAATCGTGGTCGAAGTTCACTCCCAAGACGAATTTCGTGAAGGTCGTCCAAAATCAGTTGTTCCGAAAACCATTGATGCTGTGTGTGAACTCATATTGCAAGATCGTCATGTAACTTATCGTGAGATTGAGACAACCTTAGGCATTAGTGGGATCAGCATACATTGAATATTGCATGAACATTTGACTGTCAAAAAAAGTTGATCGCGTTGGATCCCACACAATTTGTCAATCGCTCAAAAAAAGGCTCGTGTCGATTGGTCGAAAGAAATGCTCAAAAAAATACGATCGCTGTGCTTCTAAAACACGTCTATGACATCGTGACAGGTGAATGAATCGTGATTTACGCGTATGAGCCCGATTAGGTAAACAGCAAGTCGACTGTATTGGTTGTTTCAAGGATTAGTAAAATCCAACAAAAGTTGTTCGCGCACAAGCCACTTCCAAACCAGAATGGTCGGCCTGTTTTCGAAAAAACTGGACATGTCGCAAACTGTTACCACTAGACAACGCCAAACAGTCAATTCTGAGTGGTTACACAACGATTTGTTGCCAGCCGTCTTCCAAAGAAAATCAGGAAAACCAACCGCCGAAGACGGATCACTCTTCACCACGACAATGCGAGCTCTTACACATTCGCTCAAAACTTCAAACAACTGCCATTTTTAGCACCCAAAACATCGATTTTTGATGAGTCATCCGCCGTATAGTCCTGACTTGGCACCCGAATGACTTCTTTTTATTCTCCGTACGTAAAAACAAACTGAGAGGTCAAACTTTTTCGACACACTGAAGAAGCAATAATTAAATATGTTGTCATTGCAAAAAAAAACAATGTTTTGTAATTCAATAGCACTTTAACGATGGCTTAGCCATCATCATCAGTTGTCTGATACAAGAAGAAAAAAACAAAAAACATTAAAAACGTGAATTAACAAACAAGATTATGATTAAAGGTTACAAAAATTTACAAATTTTTTTGGAAAATATATTTGACAAACGGCTTCAAACTTACATTTCTATGTTTTTCTGTAAAAAAATATTTTTACTGTGTCCTATTCTATTTTTCCATTTCGCTTTTCTTTAGTATTAATGGCTTAACCCCCCCCCCACTTTTGCTTTTTCTCGCCGTTGTCAAATATTATTTTTCCAAAAATTTGTAAAATTTTTTGTAACCTTTATCATAATCTTTGTGTTTTAATTCACGTTTTTAAATGCTTTTTGTTTTGTTGTGTTTTTTCTTTCTTGTATCAGACAACTGGATGATGGATGGCAACCAATCGAAGCTGCTATTGAATTAAAAAAACATTTGTTGGCAATACAACACTCTTTAATTTATTTTAAAAATGCCAAAAGTATCTTTACACACACACTATACCTGAAGAAGCGGTCTTGCTGCATTTCAGAAGTGCATGTTTTGGAGATACCTCAATCAGAGTGGCAATCTAAAAATGCTTCGCAATTGGTTGAAACGCATGCAATAAGGTTAGATCTTTCATGGGGAATTTTGAAAAACAATAAAGCTGATTTTCGAATGATTAATATTTTGTTGTTTGTTCTCGAATCTGGAAATATAAAGGCAACCCTCGCATATTTAGAAAAAAAACATTCATGCATTTTTTGCAGAAAATCGTGTTAAGACATCGAAATGCTTCGTGTTACATTTCGCTGGCTGTGAGAGCTGAAAAAACGTTCGTTTAAATGGAAATTAGCTAACACTCGCGGCAACTTTTCTTGAACGATGGCCTTGCTTCCCCCTCTCTGTACAATTAACAAATGAAAGCAAAAGCTCACAGGGAACACTTCTTTCCCTGGCGTGGATAGAAACTATTTTTCTGTTGAAAGACCATAACTTCTGTCCGTGATTTTCTCCAAAACAAAAAACTAAGGAAACGACCGAAGCCGGTGAAGATCCATCACAGGAATGCCTCAAACTCGTGAGAAAGTATAACACAAATTATTTGAGAAAGTTGTGAAGGACCTAACTGATTCTCCAGAGATTGGCATTGCTTCATAAAACCTAGTTGGCCGATTTCGTAACTAATACCCCCCGCTCTACCCGCATTTCATCAATCCGTTGTTTCAAGAAAAGTTGCGCGAGTAATACAGTTCCGCAAATTTGTCGACCCTGAAACTTTGTGAAGAAGGTATCGGTCGACCTGGACATTGCTGTGTCCTGTTAGCATGCTGCGAAGTAGTTTTTTGAAATATATGTGTGGTGAAAATATTGTTTTCTTAGGATGCATGCATTTTACATTCGTATACATACGTATATACGGAGTACGTAGTATAGATGAAAGGTATGTACTAACGCTGCAGAAAATCGATTTCGAGATTTCCACGGATATACACGTTTTGGGATCCCCTGATTACGAAAAAGTGTTTTTATTTTTCCAAAAACGGTACGTCCGCCGACTGTCAGTCCGTCGGTCTGTGAACAACACGAGCGCCTGAACCATACGTAGGATTTTTTCCAAAAAAAAAAAAAAAAAAAAAAAAAAAAAAACAAAATGGATATTCTTCGCGTCGAGTCTGACTCGATTCGAGGCGCCGCAATTTTGAAAAACTTTATTTAAAATTAGGTGTGCTTTTAAATGAAACCCCAGGAAAATTTCTCAAAAATGGTTCAATTTGTTTTCTTTAAATTTCTTGAAGAATATTCAAAACACTTGAAACACTTTCTAAAAAATGGCTCGAAATTTGTTCTTCAAATTTTCGAATGGATAGTGTTAATTTGCAATTGTGTGTGTGTATATATATATATATATATATATATATATAATAATATAATATATATATATATAAATATATATATATATACGCGCCGTCTCTCTCTGTTTGTCTCCGTCATCCGATATATATATATTATATATATATATATATATATATATATATACTAGATAGCGTTGCAGAACAAAATTGCGCTTCATTTTAATACAATTTCCATTCAAACTGCCCTCCATGAGGATGACGGAGACAAACAGAGAGAGACGGCGCGCGTTAGTAAGAGAGAGTGTGTGACAGGCAGAAAGCGATAGTCAGAGGAGACAGAGGGAGAGAGCGAGAGAGAGAGAGAGAGAGAGAGAGAGACCGAAAGAGACTGAGGCCGAGAGAGTTAAGAATCAAGAGTAGAGATAGAGAAAGAGACGGAGAAATAGACAGAGACCAATAGAGCCACGGATACAGAGGGAGACAGAGGCAGCACAGACTGACAGAGACGCAGAGAGAAAAAGGGAGGAAGACAGAGAAAGAAAGAGACACAGAGGGTCACGGAGAGATGGACAGGGACAAAGAGAGGCAGACAGATGGGGACAAAAAGACTGGAGCAGGGACAGTGAGAGATGGAGATAAATACTGCGAGAGGGAGATGAAGGGGAGAACGTCAGCCGGGTTCTTTTACACATACACACACACGCACGCAAACACGCGCACGCACACACACGATATATATAGTTAATTTTGTTGCAACTCGACTAGATGGCGCTTCATTTTAATTCAATTTCCATTCACACTTTGCTCCACCTAAGCTCCGTTGTTGCTGAGCGTTGCCGCGTGACGCTGGCCGAGACCGAGGTCAGGCCAGCGGCGCGCGTATAAATGAGAGACAAGTGGCAGAGAAATAGAGTCCGGCTCTGCTGATTGGTAGTTTTCCGTGGTTTCTCCGATCAATACCAGGCGAATGCCGGAGCGGTACCCTAACAAAGGGACCACGGACCGCGCGCGATCTCGCCTCCCTCTTCCCTGTCCTCTCATCACCTCTTGTACCCCCCCCCCCCACACTAATATGCCGGGAGACCGTTCGGGAGTTTAGAGCTTGTCCCCGCTGGAGCGGTGCTCCGCTGGGGGG